AATATATCATTTATTTTAATTTTACAATTTTTTTTTTAAAATTTTCATATTTCGACGTTTTATCAATTGTTTATTTCATATTTATTTTTTTCGTGCAATTTTGTGTGTTTTTGTGTTATTTTTCAAAGTTTATTTGTATGCACTGAAGATGGGTCGAATCAAGACCCGAAACGTATGTTCTCTAAATGAAAACATTTTTCATTAAAACTGTTTTTTAATTACTGGATGGATGCCCAAGAAACAATTTTATTATATACATATATATACTAGCTAACCCAGCAAAAAAAAATTAGCAATAAAAAATATTTTCAGAAAAATACAAAAGTGATTGTGAATGTGGAAGTAAGTAGTATATACGTAAAAGAGGCAGTGATAGTCATGAAAAGTGCCAGCCTGGCCTGAAACTGATTTCACTTATATTGAATAAGCACATTTGAAGATTACAGGTTTTGATATATTATTGTCGAGATTTTCATTAATTCAAGCATTTTTGAATTCCAAAGTAAAATTCGAATACTCATTCTTGAATTATACTGTGGCATGCCTAGCGAACCGAGTGAGTGAGATTTCATAAGTTGTGTTGAAAATTTACACCTTTATCTTAGATTTGTATGGTATCTAGTTTCCTCTTAAAATGGTTGCAACTTCAGATTTTAGTACACAATCTTCATATCGTGAAATATTTGTCCTTTTGAGAATCCTAAAGATTAGTGATTATTCAAGAATCAATCGATAGTTTGACGTATCTAGTTTTAACGATGGTAATCTTTTATCCAATATGTAAAATTTAGATGAAAATGTTTCAACAATGACCACAATTCCACAGTACGTAACAATTTACCTGACTCAGAAACTCATTCTGGTGTAATATATTTGTCATACATTAAAGAATTGTATGTTCCTTGAAAAAAACTTTTTCATAAATCTGGACTCCGACTTGTAAGCAATTTTAGTACAACGACTAGTACTATTACCAAAACAAAAACCCTTTTTTAACTATTTATAACAATAAAACAATAAATAAAAGGAATGAACTTAACACGCTGTGCGACGCTAATCTCTTTTATTTAGATACCATTTCCAAATTTCTCACAAAACAATAAAAACGTCGCGCAAAGAATTCGCAATTCGTTCCACACATGTGTAGAATCTTGGTAAAAATATTTTTTAATAGTGTTTTCTCCATTATATCTTCAACCAGTCTACGAACAACATATTATCTATTTGTGATTTTTTAAATTAGTATTTTGTGAAAATATTGTGTAATTACAAGTTTAATGTTTATAATACATAGTGTAGTGCATTACCATATCCTGATACCATGGATTATTAAAATTTTTCAATTTAACACTAAGATTAACTAATTGTAAGTACTATTTACTCTTTTTATTTTTTCTTTTCACTCCAATTCAATTGTTTTAGTTTTAATTTTATTTTTAGTTTCCACTTAATGAAGGCTAGGATTATAACCGAAACGTATGGATTTAAAATAAATTTTTGAAAGAAATTCATGTTTTTTATTGATGTTATGCCCGATTACTATACTTTGTTAATATATATATATATATATATATATATATATATATATATATACATATTAAACCAATAAATATTCGATCTAAGATAAGTGGTCTTTGAGCAATATCATAACGTTCGTAACTCAAATTTGAATCAAATTATACGCCCATTTAATATATAGTCCAGAATAAATCTATTTAGCGTCCAATAATTCGGATTTCCATTCCCTGTGCCAGTATGTTATACTCCGTTCCCGAATATACGCAATGTACGCTCATATGTGCGTATGTGTTCGCATGCGTAAAGTGGTTTGGGGCATGATAAGACGTGCCCAGGGTCCGCGCTCTGTCCCGGCCGCTGCGTACTACACATCAAGTAGTTCTATGAGGGCGGTGTGAGAATATCAAAAGAGGCGAGATGGGGGTCCATATTGATCGGTTAAATCACCCCCAGTTTAAGTCCCCTTCACCCCCTCGAACTACAAAGCTGCCGGACCGAAGATAAGTCCGTGCGTGCGTGCTGCGTGCGTTACGTATGTAAAGATAGAGTGCTGGAAATGACACCTTTGAGGAAAGCCTTTGACTTGCACGGTCAGTTCACGTTAATTGTTAAAGAAAATTATGAAATGGAAAATTTATTACTTCGAAGATAATGTGGGACATAAATTTAAATTATTTTAATTGATTTATATTAATTCTTAATAAATAATCAATGATCGAAATTAAATGAATAGATTATAATAAAATTTTACATTTTCAGTTCATTCAAATAGTTATACCTACTTCCTGTTGTCACATATTATGTATAAATATTGCAAATAAAATTTCACAAAAATTGTGATGATCATTAGTTTTCCAGAACACTTACTCGTGAACTAGCAGTTTTAATAAATTTTATTTTTAAATTTAAAAATATTGTTAAAAGATTTTTTTTTAAATAATTTACAAATAGAAAACTAATTTTGAGTGCAAAATTTATTCAAAAAAACATTAATTATTTGAATTTTATTTTAAGATTATATAGGCAATTATTAAATGAAATAATCTTATGCTAACGCTTAAGTATATATATAGGGTTTCCCAGAACTCAACGTCAGGTAATAGAATAATTCTAAGATTTTAAGTACAGCCTGAAGCTTTACTCAAACTATGATTTTTTTTTGTTATTGTAGTTAATTCTTATAATTTTTGTTTATTTAAACTTTGGAGCCATAACCGTAAAACACATTTCTAAGACCAGAGTAAAAAAATAAAAGAAATAGAAATTTATGAGCTTTTAAGTACGGCTAAGAGCTTTACTCAAACTGTGATCATTTTTTTGTTATTGTGCTGATCATTATTTTGTTATTTTTATTATTTATGATTATTTAAACTTTGGGGCCGTAACCGTAATTAAGATTTCTAAGACCAGAGTAAAAAAAAATAAAAAAATTATTAGCTTTTAAGTACAGCCAAGAGCTTTACTCGAACTGCGAACATTTTTTTGTTATTATCGTTAATTCTTATCATTTTTGTTTATTTAAACTTTAGAGTCGTAACCGTAAATAGCATCTCTAAGAGCAGAGAGAAAAATAGCATAAAAAGGAATTTTCAAGTACAATCAAGAGCTTTACTCAAACTGTGATCATTTTATTAACTGTTATTGTGTCTATTTTTTTATTATTTTTGATCATTTAAACTTTGTAGCCGTAACCGTAAATAACATTTCTGAGACCAGACTGAAAAAATAAAAGAAATAGAAATTTAAAAGCTTTTCAAGTACAACTAAGAGCTTTACTCAAACTGTGATCATTTTTTTGTTATTACGGTAAAGTTTTATTATTTTTCTTTATTATTATTATTTATTTAAACTTTGGAGTCGTAACCGTAAATAACGTTTCTAAGACCAGAGTAAAAAATAAAAGAAATAGAATCTTAAGAGCTTTTAAGTACAGCTAAGAGCTTTACTCAAGCTGCAATTGTTTTTTTGTTATTGTGGTTATTTCTTATTATTTTTGTTTATTTAAACTTTGGAGTCGCAACCATAAATAACATTTCTAAGGCCAGACTGAAAAAATAAAAGAAATAGAAATGTATGAACTTTTAAGTAAAATAAAAACAGTCAAGACTTTACTCAAACTGTAATCATTTTTTTTTGTTATTGTGCCGTAATCGTAAATAACATTTCTCAGACCAGAATTTTCTAGAATTAGGATCACTTTTTAAATTGAAACTTTAAAAAATCCACAATTGATAGGGTTAAACCAATGTACTAAAGTATGTGAGCTAAGTAAGTTCCATTAAAAGTTTGCACATTTTTTCAGGATTGTTAAATGGTAAAATACTTAATAGTTTAATAATAAATAATTTGAGCACAAAAATAGAAACCTTAAAATCATACGATTATACTTACGTCAGATGATAGAATAGATCTAAACACCGTGAAAAAATAGAAAAACAATATATGAGCTTTTGAGAACTAAGCTAAGAGCTTTACT